TCGTGACGTCATCGTTTTCGAATAGCTCCGTTTTCAAAATGTTTTCCGCCCACACTAAAACGCAACTGAAGCCGGCGTTTTCAAATTTCTGCGGTTTGAAGAGCGTTTTCGAAAAGCTCCGTTTTCTTGATGGATTATATCGGTGTGGACGGCAGGCCAAACCGTAGAAATAAAGCTGCGTTTTCAAATTCCTCCAGTGTAATGTGGACGGGGCTTTGTAAGAGCGCGTTGTTTTGTTGTCTTCATGATTCTCGCCAGTCTGTTATCGTGTAAGACGTTTAAAATGTAATCTTTTGCTGATTGTGCTTCATCTTTACGTTTTTAATCTTCAGATTCAAGTGTTCATCCAAGATCTGACACAGATCATGAATGAAATCAGAAGAGCCGAGACAGCTGCCACCAATGTCACATCCACCATGAGCTGAATAACCAGAAATTAGTTTAGGAGGACTATTGTAGAAAGTTGTAAATATTGTGTCTAGATTTATTCACGCATACAGCATGTTAAAAATGTATACGTTAATAAATTGGCCCGAGATGGGCGTAAAACGGGCAAGGAAGCCTTTTCATTGGTGTACTGAGAACAGATACAGATCATCTGCTATAAAATTTTACCTCCTTATCAAACGATCAAGGGCGCTTATCATTTAGCCAGAAAATCCGGAAATTTCGGCGGAAAGTCAAATGGTACAGTAAATTTCCGTAAAATCCCTTCGGAAATTTAGAGACTACTTCCAGAAGTAGACCTTTTTTCGTTCGGAAATTTCCTTACCATTTGTTACATTTTTTCAGTTTCCAGTGTCTCATCAGCCGAAAACAATTACAGGAAATCGAATTGTAAATAGTAAGCGCCATTTCGTTCGGTTGGTTTACTGATTCTGATGCCGCGCCGACCTTCAGTTCGGTACTAGTTCACTCCGGTTCCCCTTTGTGGCTCTGTATTCGTTTTTCATGTTACCACCACAAAATTTTATACCCTGTAAACGCAGTACGACTGTTCGTTCACGCATGAAATCACTTTCCCAGGAATCTGGAACGTGTAGCGCATGCGTAGTCCTCGACGTCTAATCCCAGAGGGCGTCACTTTAGTTCAAAAGCGGTGTCCTTAGTTTAAAAGCAGTACGTGGTGTGTGCACATTGTATTTGGTAAAGGAGTGGCTTTAAGTGTGCTTTGAACACAGACGTCGATCTGTTTCCAAGGTAAGCAATTTTCATCATATATCATCTGTAACTTGAAAGGCTCAGCTAAGTAATCGAAACGTTAAAATTGTTTTGTGGCTTTGGCATTTCAATGAAGTGCTTTATCTATGCTACCAGAACGAAAGTCGATTGAGCGATGCGGCCTCGGGAGCCTTAAGCCGTATCACCGGTTTAACTTGTTTTTGCTTTTATCACAGGTCTGCGTCGAATGCAGACCTTTCCATACACGTTGGAGTTTGAGACACTAATTAGTCGATGCAAACGAGTAAATTTATTACCTTAGTAATAATTTGTCCGGTAAACATGTGGAGGCTCAGGAGGGATGGGGGCGTCTCTAAGCAAAACATTGGTTGAGTACTAGATATGGGACATTTCTAGTCCCTAGCGGTCTCCTGCATTCAATGCAGAGGTGATAACCGCTACACCACTAATACTCGCCCTCGATATTCCACACTTCTACTACGCCTGTTAAAAGTCCACTAACACATGTTTCGCTTCACCGCTTATATTCCCTTTTTTTATGATAATTCCAGTCATCAGCACAGTTCAAGGTCTTTTCAATTATGAATGATTTGGCTTGCAAACCCAATTGTGTACGCAGTGTGTATGGCAATGTGTATCGCAGTGTGTTATCGTGGTATGCTGTTGTTATCCTTTACGGAAACATAATTTGGACTAGACTTGCCACAAGTTGACCTTTTCTTAATCCTTGACTTACTTATCTCCCTCGAGAGAAGCGAGAGAGTAATCTTGGGGCGACGAAGTCAGGAGGGCAAGCGCGAGCGACCTAGGTCGCGAGAGATCGATTTGTTTCACTTGCAGGAATGTGAATCAGAGCGTAAACTTTTGGCGCGAAAAATATGATTGACGTTTCTCACTTTTCATGTGCTCCGCGCGTGATCGTCACGAAAGCAGAAAATGATTTCCATCAAAACGTTTACGAGTACTGTTCTCTAACTCAAATGAATTTATTTGTGTACACTGCAGTATGTAGTCATCAATATTGACAAACGGCAAAAGCTGTTCCATTGAGTAACGCCTCCTGAAAAGTCAAAACCCTGTTTAAACCGATCGGGAATTATTTTAGTCTAGATTGGTCGCCTAGATTAGAGATTAACCAGCGATAGATCAGAGAGCTGCCTGAGAAATGCTATAAACTTACGTAGATATGGCTTGTACCGACAAGAATCCGAATTAACTAAAGAAGACGGAATTAGTCTGGGAGAACTTGAATTCTGTAAAGCTCTCTTGATTAAATAACGTTGAGAATCGAAGTCACAGCAATCGGCAGAGAATAAAATCGCTGTTCCCAAAAGTCCTTCATCGATCGACGAGTTCTTTCAACACGGTAAAACGGCCGAGGCAAATTTGCTGCGATGCCCTTTCTTTGTAGAAAAGTAACTTGGTCATTCATTAAATCAACTAAAAGCGCAACAATTACACATACTGCAGGAACGGCTCTGTTCTTCTTTCAAAGGTCTAAACTTAATTCTCTGAAACGATCGAGATCACGCAGGAGCTCAGATCG